GGTGTCCCGGGCCGTCCCGGACTTGTCCGTGTGGCGGGGTTGGACTCCCACCCCTGCACTTTTTTCTTTTTTTCGGGTTCTAAACGAAACAAAAGAAAAAGGGAAAAAATAAAAAAATAAAAAATAAACAAAAACATCACCGTACTATGGTGTTTTTTTTTTTTTTTGCTGTTGCCGTTTTGCGGAGTCCAAAGAGTCAAAATCTCAAGAAAAAAATAGCGAGATGCGTTTCTGCGATATAAAAAAATAAAAAGAGATGACAATCCCTCGGTTTATATGGGTTCCGGTTCTATTCCCCCACGAAAGGCAGCGGCGCGATACCTGCTTTCACTGCGGTAGTTTCTGCGGGTTTCTTTCCGTACAAGAAAAGGAGAAAAAATTGAAAAATACACGAAGACAATCCCAAAAAATTGGGAACAGATATAAAAAGATCACTGGTTAAAAGGCCATATAAAACCCAAAGAAATGTATTCACTAAGGCGAAGGACATTGTCAGTGGTGCCAATCCTTCAGCATTTTTGTTCTTTATTATGGTTCCGGCCATTCCAAGCGGTGAACTCAGCATAAAAACAGAGCAACAACTACCAAGAAGACCATTAAAAAACTTAGCGAGTTCAGGTTTTATAGAAATTAATAATACGATTACAAATGATGCGCCCATCATAAAAGAAAGCGCAATCAACACTGTCAGACATGATTTTTTATATGTCGTACTGGCGAGGGTATGTCCCGATTTTTCTTCCTGACGTGCAACAGAAAGGAATACGAGTAAACAGTACGTAGCAATGGCATTTCCAACGACGTTGCATAAAATAACACCAAAAGCCACTTGTATTACGCCGTAAATAGACCAAACCACTGAACTAGCTAATTGGGCACAAAAGAACGTTGGCGTCATAATTCCGATAGAACGTTGCTGTTCCAACTTCCTTACAGTAACTATAGGGGCACTTAACATGCAAATAGAAGCGGTGGTTGCGAGTATTGAAACTATACTTAGGATTGAAGTCATTTTGTTTAAACTATTAAAACTATGCGATTGCTTTTGCTTTTTTTTCTTTTCACTTTTTTTTGGCTTATACCTCAATAAAAAGAGAGAAAAAAAGACACATTACAAAAGAAAAAAAAATTCACTCATTTTCTTTTTTTAAAGTTAAGCTCAGAAAATCCCCCCAGCCTTATAAAAAAAAAAAAAATCAAATGCTCACCACTCAATCTCTTTTTCTTACTTAATCAACCTCTACATGGCATAAACAACTCCCCATCGACCATGCAGATCAGAGCGCGTAAAATAATAATAAAAAAAACACTTTGTTTGTACACACTAACGAGTATGTAGCCTTTCCTTTTCATTGAATGAAAAACATTGTTAAATAGTTTAAATCAACATAGTACTACCGTCCCAAGTCCCGTCTTTCCCCCACCCTATCCCCTCT